TTTGTTATTGGCTTTTAGAAGACCCTCTTTCAAGTTCAGCTGTAAAGCCGTCTCCCTCAATCCCTAAACTTAAAGCACTTAAAGCTCCTAGCCTTCGTAGCCCTGCCAAAACTTTTCACAACACGAAGATCCAAAAGAGCCTGGCCCTTGTATCGAGTGTATACAATACCCTAACCCTGGAACCCGCACCGGGTCGCCTGTACGTGTTCACTTTCACGTTAGATATGGCGTTGGTCTAGTCACAGGCTTCTTTGTGCCCCAAGGCAGAAGGAATATGTCAGAGTACTGACCCCAAACAGTGGACGCTACAGGTGCGATCGCCCCCCTCCCCCTGTTGCGCTACTGAGACCAATCCCCATCCCTAAACCCTACACCCCAACCCTAAGCCCTTGGAGCCACATTGCCAGGCTTGGCTGCAGGAGAATGGGGTCACCTGGGCCACCGACGTGCCGCGAACGCAAAGTGGGGGTCTTTTCACGCGGATCGCGTGGGGTTCAGGTTTGAGGCTTTCAGGGCCTATTTGCATTCAGAATGAATTCTGTAGTTCGCATTTACAGTCATACTGGACTATATACGGGGATGAATATGCAAATGTTTAGGCTCCCGTGCTAGCGTGTTCCAGGGTGGTTCAGGTTCTTGGATTTTGGCTTAGGACTTGCTGTGGTGTGGCACAGATGCCCTAAAGCCTAAACTCTCTAGCCCTAAACCTCAAAGCCTGAACGTTAACCCGCAAGCCTTAAAAGCCCGAAGCCCTGTACCTCAAAGCCTAAACCTCAAACCCTCAACCCTAAACCGCCAAGCGCCCACCGGAAACTCCCAAGAACTCTGCCAAAGCAAGGTCGTTAACTTCCAGCTTGCCCAGTAGAGTTTGGGGTATAGGGTTTAGGGATTAAAAAAAAGGGTTTAGGAGTTTAGGGTCAATTCGGGCTTAGGGGTTTAGTAGGGGTTTGGGATCGTGGCCAGCCAAGGCAATGGCTTTCACCGCCCAGGACGTCGTGGGTGGCATGGGCGTCGTCAGCAAGCGCGCCATTCGACCAGGTCTGGGCCTGCCTCAACCCTTTTCACTGTAACTGGGTAGGTCCGGATATTTTGCATTTCCCCCCCTGTATTTGTTGGGTTTCAAGAAGATCATATCTAGGAGTGTTTTTAAGAGGGGTTTAAAAGGCCTCCCCCTAGTCAACCTGAACCCCAACACCTTGCTGTTTCACCTGCGCAAACCTCGGAACGTTGGGACATGCTACATCTACCCTGAAAAAACTGGGTTCAAGAGTGATCGTTTTAAAGAGGCCTTCGAGGGCCCTCCTGGCAAAATAGCACCTCCCTTCCCCAAACCTTAAACCCTAAACCCTAAACCCTACAGGCGAGGTTCTGGCTAACATCCCGAAGTCCGCGGCGCTGTCCATCAGGCTGATGAGAACTTTCCATGACGGCTTCGGGCTTCGGGTGTTTCTACGGGCTTCGAGTTTATGAGGGCTTAGGGTTTAGGGTTTAGGGTTTCTAATGGCTTCGAGTTTATAATTTAGGGTTTAGGGTTTCTCAGGGCTTCGAGTTTAAAAGGGCCCAAGGTTTAGGGTTTAGGTTTATAAGGGCTTAGGGTTTAGGGTTGCTTTGGCCTGTTTAGGGTCTAGGCCGTAGGGTTTAGGTTGAGTCAGGTGCTTTGGGGTTCAAGCCCTGATGCACGTCACAGGGTTTCGCGTACTCGTCGACCAAGCGCGTGAGTGACGAATCCTAAGCGCCATCGAAGAAGAATTTCAGATTTTGGCTGGTATAGTGTTTGGGCGCTGGATGTGACTTCAAGGGTGCAGTTGAGTGTACTGTTCCATGTTAATGTTGCACCCTCTTTAGTGTAGCCCCCCCCCCCCGGCCCCCAGTACAGTCGAAGCTGTTTTTGTTCCTGTTTACACGGCCCCGGGGGTTTAAATAATTTTAGTAGGGACGAGTTCAAAAGGGGCAGCGATGCCCAATTCATTTCGGTGGAATTCCCTTACGGCACCCAGTCGGTTGGCCTTCATTCAGGATCCCACCACGCAGCCCCAAACAGTCAGGGTGTCCTGACGAGCCCAGCCAAATTGACTCGATTCAGGGTGCCCCGAACAAAACCAGGTGGAACATTACAATTAGAGCCACATAGACCCTAAAAGACCACAACACCCCAAACCCCAGAGCAATTTGAAAGTTTAGGGTTTAGGGCTCAGGCTTGATAGGGGTTAGGGTAGGGATTTTCAGGTGTGGAGAGTTTCGACCCTAAACCCGAAATCCAAAATCCAAACATCTCGGAGTGTTTGGGATATGCAAAGGGCCTGAATGTTAGGGTTCACAGTCTGTCGGAGTTTTGGGGCGGGTGGGGGGGTTGTTGGGATTTAGGGGGTTTAGGGTTTGGGGTGCAGGGTTTTGGGTTCACAGACCCAAGCAGTTTTGAAGCTGATGTTTCTGGATAGCTCCTGGGTTCGTAACTGTTAGACGTTTCGATAGCCCGCGTCCCTAAAAAAGCCCGGTAGAAACCATAGAAAGATAAGACCCCCAAACCGCTGAAGCCCTAAACCCGAAAGCCTAAGTCAGGGCCTCAGGCTCTAAACCGCTAAACTCTACCCACACCTACCCCCTTAACCCTAAAGCCATTCGTAGAAGAATGGGATTACGTGAAGTGTGAGTCTCAACACACCCTAAAGCTGCAACCCCAAACCCGAAATCAAGAACCCAAAATTCTAAACCTTAAGCCGCCTCAAGCCCTAGTTCCCTAGAAGCCTTCAATTCGTACAGCCCTACAGCCCTCGACGCGCAAAACCTTAGGGCTCTAGGGCCGTCTACCCTGAACCCCGAAAAAGACTCCACTTTTTGTCCCTAAACCCCTAAACCCCTAAAACCCTAACCCCCCTAGACCCCCCCCCCCCCCCTAAACCCCTAACCCCTACACCCCTCAACCCCAAACCGTACACCCCAAACCGGCAAACCCTAAGCCCTAAACCCCTAAGGCCCTAACACCCTAAGCCCCAGGAACACTTCCGCATCGAAGCTGATCGAGGACAACGGCCTGGACCTGGTCGCTGGGCTTTTGCCTACTGGTTGGTAGCGGGGAAGTGGGAATGAGGGAATGTGGTGCCTCTATATCCCGATGCTATATAATGGCTTGTAGGGGATTATATAGGGTACCTCATTCCCTCATTCCCTGCTAGGAACCAGTAGGTTTAGAGGTTAGAGCTTGGGGTTCAGGGTTCGGGTTTCAGGGTTGGGCGTTGGGGTCCGGAGCTGCTGGTTCCCAAAATCTACCCCGCACGGTGTTCATTGGGGTTAGGGTTTCGGGTTCTAGGCCCTGTTCGTATTCTGGTTTCAAGAGCTAAGCCCTAAACCATCGGCCGTAAAGATAGGTTGATTTTTGTTTGCATTCCTTTTCCGGCGTTTCTGGTCCAGCAGAGCTGCACTCATCCGCCTTTCTTAACAACCGCAAGGAGTTAAAAAGGTGAATTGAACCTTAAAACCCTTAAAGCGCCAGAACCATCAACCCTTAAACCCGAGACTCCTAAAGTCCTTGACAGCCTGACAGACTATACCCCAAGCCCCTATGTATCCGTCCGCGCTAGACCCTTAAACGTCAACTGAAAAGACTCTGAAAGCACTGATCATCCTGAGGCCTGCAACCTCAGACCCCAGCACACTTCGAGGTTTCATCTGCTGGTTCTGCGAAAGTCCCCCGATAATCGCTTCCCTGACAAGCTCTCTTCCTCTAAGCCCCTAAGCCCAAAGCAGCGGAAAACGATGCCTTGAGAGGCAGCGAGTGCCCAGGGCCCTGCATTTAGGTCTCATGATCCCTTGCAAACCGAGTAAAACCAGAAAAGGGTTTAGGGGCGGGGGCCCGACACTTTGGTGTAGAGAGCAACCCTAAAGCCCCAAACCCTCAACCCCCCAACCCCCCAAGCCCTAAACCCTTCTCGACCCCTGGGAATCTTGGGGAACCAGCTCATAGTTGAGTCCAAGGATGCAGCGCTGCGCGTGGCCATCGCCACAGAGGCCAGAAAAGGGTTTAGGGATGAGGGCGTAGAGCTTAGGGTGGTGGAGTTTTGTACTGAGCTCAGGGTTTCGTTGTTTCGGGTCTATGGAGGTTTAGGGGTTAAGTTGTCGGGGCTGTAGGCCTAGGGTTGAAGGACTGTGGGGTTTTCTGGGCCGGATGGCTAGAGAGGGCGAAGTTGATGGCAGGCTCGAGGGGTTTAAAAGGGTTTTTGTGGCATTGGGAGGAAACTGGAGAACGGAACTAGCCCTAATTCCGAAACCCGCAGCCCTTCGCCGACCAACTGTCCAGTTGGAAGTCCAACAGAACTTGCCCGAAGCCCTGAGACTTGAGCCACAGCCCCTGAAACTCGAAGGGTAAGGTATTAGGGCCGAGGATTGAATTGGGTTTAGGGTTTAGGAGTTTAGGGTTTAGGACTGAATTGGGTTTAGAGGCTTGGAGCTTAGGATTAAGTTGGGGGTGGTTTTGGAGATTCCGTGCGTTCAACTCCGGCAGAAGCCCTTGACGAGCAGTCGCATCCTCGAGGCTTCATACACGTCATTTTGGGGCTCAAAATCCTCCAAGCGCCTTGCATTGCATGGTCTTGGGGCCCCCATCTGTCCAAAACCCTCGAGGCACAAACACCGGTGTGTTCTCACAACAATCAAGGGACTTCTATTCTATCTTGGACGTGAAGCTCTTGGGGACCCGTTTTTTTTTTTTTTTTTGCGAATCCTTACAATATTAGGGGTTCTATTAAGAGTGTTCCGTAGCCATGCTAGGAGTGCATACACCCGTCTATGAAGACTTGGCGGTTCTTTGGAGGGAATTAGGGCTTTAGGTATCCTACCAGCCCCCAGATTAGAACTCCTCAAGGGAATGCATAATTTTCCTAATTGCCGACTTCCCTTGAAAGAACTGCTATGTTTGGGGTACAACCTAGGGGGTGCGACTTTGAACCCCAATGCAAGTGCTGGGCATACTGAGGTGGCATTGGGTGCGCGCTCCCGTTGGCACGGACCGCGCCACGCTTCTCCTGGGGCTTAGCTTACCCTATACCCGAAACCCCTCGTAGAGGAGGCTGCGGGAGGGAGCTACAGCACTTATTGGGGACTGAGCGTCTGTGCTTAGGGATTGGGTTGAGGGTGCCAAGCTGATACGCCTGAGACCCAGCAGCAAGATTAGGAACTATTTTACCGCATGGGCGGAGGGGGGGGCGGGGGGTTGGGTTAGATTGTTTTCTGGGGGTTCTCTTTAGAAGGTACTACCAGATAGGCTGGAATAAGTTAGAGGAGTTATGGGTTACTTGGAGAAGTAAGGGGAGAACTTAGGGACAAGTTATATAAGTGAACTTAAGCCAGTTATGGTGAAGTTAGTAACTTGTTTAACTTGTCCCCCCTGACTTGTGGGCCCCCGGTTTTGCGCCTTTCATGTCGGCTTGAAATGTTGCTGAGTTTTGGGTTGCTGGGGACAGGAGTCAGTTTTCAAGGCCTCTGTAAACCCTGAACCCTACACCCTAACCCGAAACCCTAAACCCTAAAGCTCAAGGGCTGTTTTGCAGGCCTCTGTAAACCCTCAACCCTACACCCCTACGGCCTGAAGCCTAAAGCCTAAAGGCTAAAGGCCTAAAGCCTAAACCCTGCAGCCTAAACCCTATATATGCCCCTTTGACCGGAAGCCCTTACTACCATAAACCGTAACCCTCAACCCTTTTTTTAAGTCAGGCGGGCACGGGTTTAGTGAAGGCAGCACAACAAACCTTCTTCACTCAGTCTCCACCAGTGTGGCTGCACAAAGGGTTCGTCCACCCGGGGCTTCACAAGAATCTGCTTTCCTTCCGGCCGCCACACAGAGCCCCAAGGCTCAGTTCGGACCTTTCGGAACTGGGTCATGAGGATGTAGAGGCCGGCTGAGCTTCCAGAAAGGCAGTGCAGCACTTGTCCTCCGGTGTCGTGCCAAAGCAAGATGTCACCAGAGGCCACTGTGACCTGCAGGAGTTTCATCTGAGGGCTTCGCTTCAAAGAGAGGTCGGTCAGTTTATTGCAAAGCTCTGGTCCAGCCGGCTTGCTGCTGCCTGCCAAGGCCCAAGCTGCGAAGCCCCAGTCATCAGCTTCTTCCAAACCTCGAACCAAGAGTCGAGGCAAAAGGGCCCTCTGCAGTGCTTCGGAATAAGCAACGTTTTTTTTCTGCCTGTCGAGGGTTCCATGACTCTTGACCTGGCGATGCTTGCTTTCGTGCACAGAGCAGTTGGGCAACACACCGAGTTTCACAGCGGCCTCAGCCACGTGTCGGCGATGATGGTGTTTAGGCTTGCAGTGGCCATCGGCAGCGTATGCTTGGTTGAAAGCGGCTTGGTGCCTGGCCTCTGACCTTTGCAAGGGCTGAACGTCTGTAAGCGTGATGGGTGTCCACTGTGAGGCCAAAACACCCAGGTGGCGGACACAGGAGTGCAGCAAGGAAAAGCTTCGGCATACATCCGTCTCAGAACCTAGCCGGTGCAGGAGGTGCTGAGCATAGTATTGGAGCAGATACACAAGAGCCCGGGTTTCGGTGCCCTGGCCTTTGAAGAGAGCTTCGTCGAAGTACTTCGGGTGCAGCAAATGGCGAAGTTGACAGGCCCCAGCATTCTCACTGCCAGCAACTCGCCAATCGTCTGCTAAGGCACGTTGGAGCAACTGCTGCAACGTATGCCCTTGCCGTTCCAGGCAGTCCACCATGAGGCCAACTTCCCAGGCGGCCACACCATTGTGGAAGTAGGTGTGCAAGCTATCATTGAGAGAAGCTGAGGGCGGCAGGTGTGTTCTGCCCCGGGCCGGGTGCGAGCAACCCGGTGGGGAGGAAGCTTATTCCGAGCACCGTGGCCAGGTGCTTCTGGTCGCCTTTCTTCTCCACTGCAGCCAAGCGATCAAAGGCACGGAATATTTCCTCATCCTGCCAGCGAAGGAATTTGGAGGCATCCGGCTCAGAAATCTCCACGAATCCTGCGGTTCCCACGTTGCTGTCCCTGCACAGCACATTGCCACAGAACATGCAGGGCTTGAGGCCCCCACTTCCCTTGACCCCCCAGGTGGCTCTCTGGGCCTCCTGGTCCGACAGGAACAAGGATGGAGTTGCGAGGCTGGTCCACAGAGTCTCCCCACTCGGAAAGGTCAGGGGAAAGCCATCCAAGTTCCTCTGCTTGTGGAGGTCACGTACGAAGAGAGCCATGAAGCAGCTCATGCCTCCCTCAACTTTTTCCAGCACATTGTGCTGCAGAAGAGCCATAGTTAGCCAAGCTGCTTCTTTGTGCAGGGACGTTCTCATTTCTTTGAAACCCAGATACAGCAGCATTATTTTCTTGTCTTTTCGAGGTGCCAGAATGTTTCCAGAAATTACTTCGTCGTGATAGAGCACAGCAGTGAGTTTTTGATCCCGTCGGCTCTGCAGAGCTCTTTTCAGGGCCACGGCCCACGAAGTAGAGCAGGTGATTGCGTACTGCAGCAGTGTCCTTAAATCGGCCACATAAACAGGGACTTGCTGCCCTGACGTAGTGCCAGGGAGGAAATGCTTGGCATAGCAGGCGAGCCCATCTTGGAGGCGGTCCTGCTGCACCGTGCGGGCTTGAGCACGTGTAGCGGTCTCACCTGGGCTTTCGGACCTCAACTCGGAGGCAATGTTCCACACCTGCTGAATGGTGGCATCAGATGCCCGGCCCACGGCGAAGCGCCTGCCCAAGTTCTCCTGCTCCTCCGGGCTCAGCTTCCGTTTGCGGCCCCGGGGCTTTGGAGCCATGGGCTATATCGAAACATAAACCTCATGGCTTGCCGGGCTTTTTATGTTGGCTACAAAACTTTAGAGCTTCAGAGGCTTCCGGTCTGAGCTCCATGTCTGTCAAAAGTTTAAGCCTTTAGGGTTTAGGGTTTAGTGTTTATGGGGTTATACAGGGCTCAGGTTTTATAAGGGTTTAGGGTTTATAAGGTTTCAGGCTTAGGGTTAGGGTTTAGGGGTAAGGGTTTAGGGACAGAGTGTTGGGGGGGGGGGGGGGGGGGGGGGGGCTTCAGCTTTGAGGGACGGGTCTATATGCAGCCTAAACCCTAATTGAAAACCCGAAAGAAACCCCAAAGTTCCTAAAGCTTAAAAGCCCTGAACCCTTAGAAAGTCGGACTTGTGGAAGGGGTTGGGGAGTCCCAGTTTTGGGGTCCAAAACCTCTATAAGCCCTATAAGCCCGAGAGAGGACGGTTCAGGTTCGAAGCAGGCTTTTGACAAGCATGAGTCGGAGGAAGAGTCCAGACAGAGGACCTATATAACTAATCAGCTGGGGTGAAGTCCGGCTGCTGTCCCACAAGAGGGGAAGACACATCAGCATCCCTCACCCTTCGATCACACCCTCGGGTGTGGCCTGTACCTTCTCTGCACCGGGAGCAGCAGAAAACGTGGCTTTCACCAGCTCTGCGGGGACAGTTTTCTGTCCCACAGAGAGTGGGCTGCCCTTCGGCAAGCCTGCGTTGCCGGGCCTGGCGTCTTCGGCAACCGTGTGTGTGGCCATTTGGGCATAGGCTACAGCAGTGCCGATGTCTCTCGGTCACCACAAAGAGCTCACAGCCCAGCGTTGCACATCGTCTCTGCCAGGGCACCAGCGTTGTCACGGCCATTGCGAAACTTGAGCCAAGCGTCTGCAGGGCACAAGGAGAGACCGGTCCAAAACGAAACCTGAGCATTTTTCTGTATGGAATTATATACAAGGTTTCGGGTTAAGGGTTTAGGGTTTACCGAAACCTAAACCCAAAGTTATAGAGGGAGGGTTTAGGGTTTAGGGTTTACCGAAACCTAAACCCGTTTAGGTTTAGGGTTTAGGGTTCGAGGGTTATATGCTAACTCTTGCAAGGGGCCTGGAATCCAGGCCTTTGGAGTTTGAGGTTAGAGGGCTACATGCGAACTCTTGCAAGGGGCCTGGAATCCAGGCCTTTGGAGTTTGAGGTGCAGCACACAGACCTTTTTCAGGAGCCCTTCCCCTTGGCTGCTTTCAGACTTGTCTTCGTCCGTCAGTCCTTTCACGGCATTGCCGGGCGATGTCATGCCAGCAGATGCCTTTTGTCTACCTAAACCCTTGAGTCCGGCAGGCAAAACCCCGTCCCCTTTAGGCCCCAAGTGCGCCCTTGCCTCTCACTCTCCTTGCCGGCTTCTCCCTGGCAGCTGCTTGCTGACCTTCGGCCTCCAGCTTCTGGTCCTTCAACTTCTGCTTGTGCTCCTTGATGGCTTGGCGGGCCTCCTTGAGGAAGTTGTTGAAGGTGCTGAGAGTGTCCTGGAGGTCCTTGCTGTCGAAGGGCAGGGCGGGCACAGTGAAACTGTCGGGCAGGGCGCCGTCCAGAAGCTTGAGCACGTTCGTGCCAGCTTTGGCCCAGTCAGCAAGCTTGACGGAGCCGTCCTGGAGAGCCTGCCTCGTCTCCGGAACCAAGTCCAACTTGGCCAGCTGTTTCTGCACGACTGAGCCCGAGTTGTCGGCAGCAGTGAGCAAGGAGACGGCCTTTGCAGCAAGGCTCTTCTGCTTGTTGTTGAAGACTGCTGCTTTTTTGGCGGCGGCTGCAGGGCCTTGCCCGGGTGGTTTGCCCTGGCCCGGGCCCTTTCCCTTGCAGGTGCTCGGAGTCGGCACCCTGGCGGGGACGGGCACCTCCAGCACCACTTCTGGGTCTGAGGCCAGCTCGGCCTCGGCCTTGCGTTTCTTCCCTTGCTTTTTCTCCTGCAGGGCCCTCTCCTTCTCCAGGACCTTCTCGGTCACGGAGCGGTGCAAGTCTCTAACGATGTCCTGCTTGAGGGGCACCGAGAAAACTTCACCCAAAAGGGGGCAGGTGGACTTCGGGCAGCGGTCCACCACAGCCTCCTCGTAACCCTCCTTCAACCAAACGGACTTCGGCTTGGTCTCTGTGAACTGCACCGACTCGTGCTCGGCCACCTTCTGCGACACGGTGCGTTCGATGAGGCTGGCCTTCACCACCGGCCAGGAGTACCTCGAAGACGAGGGCTGTGAGGTCTTTTAGGAA